CTACCAATATATGAACATAGCAAATGAACAAGCAGAAAACAATAATCAAGTAGACTAGAATAACAGAGTTGGCAGAGACCTTGGAGGTCTTCTAGCCCAACCCCCTGCTCAGGCAGGAAACCCTATATCATTTCATACAAATGGTTGTCCAATCTCTTCTTAAAAACTTCCAGTGTTGGAGAATTCACAACTTCTGAAGGCAAGTTCCACTAATTAATTGTTCTCACCGTTAGCAAGTTTCTCCTTACTTCTGGGGTGCTTCTCTCTTTGATTAGTTTCCCCCCATTGCTTTTTACCTGCCCTCAGGTGCCTTGGAGAATAGCTTGACTCCCTCTTCTTTGTGGCAGCCCCAGAGATATTGGAGCACTGCTATCATGTCTCCCCTAGTCCTTCTTTTCATTAAACTACACATATACAATTCCAGCAAATGTTCTTTATATGTTTTAGCCTCCAGCCCCCTAATCATTTTTGTTGCTCTTCTCTGCATTCTTTATTCACTCTTTATTCATTAAATAGAACACTTTCATTTTTCCTATCAGAACAATCCTGTAGGGTAGGCTATGCCAGTGGTGGGTTGCCAATTTTTTTACTACCGGTTCGGGCACGCTCACATGCGATGCTTCTGCGTGTGAAGCGATGTGCAGAAGTGTCTGAGTGGGTGTGCGGAGCCTCCCGCTGCCGCTACTACCAGTTTGCCCGATCCGGGCTGAACTGGGAGCACCTCTGGGCTATGCTGAGAAAGATGGCTTGACCCAAGATCTTTTACTGAGCATGCACACCTGAAGGTGGGTTTAAATCTGGGTTGTGCTTTGGCTGGGAATCTACACCTTTTGGATCCCCTCAGTAGAGAACAATCAAACAGCATCATCAGGTACTCCAAATGTCTTAACTCCCTCTTCCATTTCCCCAGACCGGCTGCACAGAGAGAAGAGCTGAGGTCCAACCAAGCAGAAGAGCACTGGACTAACAAAAAGCCTGCTTTGGTTGTCTCCAAAGACCCTGATTGATATGAGAGTTCAATGCTGCTGATTCACTTTGGATCAGATTGGCCTTTGTCATATTTTGTTGGCATCTGCAATTGGCCCAGATCCAGCTGGGCTTTGTGGGATTGTCTCTTTTTTCGTTGAGTGTAGAAGATGTTACTAGCTTGCACCAAAGCTCTTAGATTATCATAAGAGACCAGGAGGGATGGGAGTTGCAGTCTAGCAGGGATGCTCAGTGCCACATAGAGAAGACTGCTGAGAAGAATCTGCAATCTGATGTTCTCCAGGTGAATTGGATTACCATCCACATCTCTCTAATCTTGAAGGGCACCAGGTTGGCGGAAACCTCTTGGGGCTCTGAAGTCCCAATTATGTCATCCGTGTCCCAATGCACGATCTTTTATTTGTAGGCTAATTTGTTGCCCAAGTCTTTTATGGATTAGAAAGGGTAATTAGTTTCCAGACAAAGAATTCCTTACAAAGTAGATCTAGCAGTTACACCTTTCCCTCGGGGTTGTGCAAAATTCACCATAGGATAATTATCTATTTGCACTGGCTAAAAAAGCAGGTGCATGTGATTTGGGGAAAACCTTATTATAAAAGCTGCAGTTCAGCAGATATTGTTTCTGCCCTTGACATTGATATAGACCATGGAGATCATGTAGACGAGGGGTGTCAAACTCAAGACCTGTGGCCCAAATCTGGCCAACAATGTGGTCGGACCCAGGCCACGGGGCCGTCCTGGCCTACACAGTGTGAAGAGGAAAGATCAGGGCAGTGTGGCTTCAGCCTGGTCTACCAAATGCGAAGAGGAACATGCCAGCAGTTTGGGCAGTGGCGTCAAGCTGGCCATGCCCACCCGGTTGCCACCCACCCACCCAGTCGCCACCCACCCACCCAGTCGGACACAGCCCTGATATGGCTCTCAATGAAATTGACACCCCTGATGTAGACCAAAACAAATCCTTTTAAAATAGTGTTTCCCAACCTTGTCAAATTGAAGATGTATGGATTGCAATTCCCACTTGCTAGAGAATTCTGGGAGCTGAAGTCCACACATTGTCAAGCTGCCAAGGTTGAGAAACATGCTTTAAAGAATAAAACACGGATCATCGTACCTGATTCTGCACAACTTCATTCCTCCATACAAAATTGTGTTTTAATAAAATTGCGGAGTACATTATTTAAAAAAACAAACAAACTGTACAAGAGAGTGTTTTATCCCACAGTGACCAAAGGCCATGCCATAAAGATGGATCTTCTTGCTAGTTATTGAAGTTTACTCTAAAATAATAGCATTCACATATCTTAGCAGGCTATTATTTGGCTGATGCGCTTGCAATACTTCAGGCGGAGAAATTAACGAGCACCAATGTTTTGGAAGTAGGCAGATTTAATGTCCAATTAAAAAGCAATCTAATGACACTTGAAAGATCAGCTCCTTATAAAACACAGATTTGCATTTCCAGGTTGCAGTGGATCTTTGCAAACAGAACTATAAACTTGGTGCCAAGTCTGTCTTCTCATCAAAAACAAAACGGACCATGTCATGTAGCAGCAAGGAACCAGTGCCTTCTCCATGTAAGCAAAAATGTGCCTTCTTTGTATAATGTTCAAAAGGACAGAAATAAAATGCATGCTGGAAAGAGGGCAGTGCAACCTTGCCAAGTGCATAAAAATGCTATGCATATGATATGTGTATCAAAATTATTAGTTGGTCACCTACCCCACATGATTTACCACTTAGCAATGACCTGGGAAGAAGAGAGGCTGGGGAAAAACAATAAATTTAATAAAGAAATAAATTGCTCTATTTTCCTAACATTTTTTCTACTTGACTGTGTATAATTCTTAGCTTTCTATGGACAGTCTGTTATTTAGAAACTGAAATAATGCTTTGAAAGAATGGCAACCTTTTTTTCACCCTTGTAATCCAATTGTTTGGCAGATGTAGTCCTAAAAACACATTTTGCCCAAGAAACTGGAAGATTTCACTCTTATTCAGGGGTGAAATTCAGCAGGTTCTCACAGGTTCTGGAGAACAGGTAGTGGAAATTTTGAGTAGTTCGGAGAACCTGCAAATATCACCTCTGGCTGGCCCCAGATGGGAAGGGACTGGAGATTTTGCAATATCCTTCCCCTGCCATGCCCACCAAGTCACGCTCACAGAACCGGCAGTAAAAAAAAATAAAAATGAATTTCACCACTGCTCTTATTCCAAGTAATGGATACTTGTTCAAAGGTACCTTTCACTGGGGGCAAAACATAGCAACTAATGGTTCTTTGATCTATGATAAAAAAAAAAAATCAGAAGACTTTCCTCGGCAAGAAATGGAAGGAAGGGCAAGAATAGAGGCCAGATGTTTCAAACATGCAACTCACTATTGAATTCAGTTTCTTCTCCAGCCTCAATTCGATGGTCAGGAAAAGTTCTGAAGAACTCAAAAAGTTGATATGTATCTTTGCATAATTTCTATTGGTCCTAATAAAAAGTATTAGCTAACAGTAAATACAGGTAGTCCTCGACTTATAACACCTCATTTAGTGACCCATTTGAAGTTACAAGAGTCTTGAAAAACGTGACTGATGACCATTGATTGTTGCAGCATCCCCAGGGTCACTTGATCAAAATTCAGACACTTGGCTACTGGCATGTATTGATGACAGTTGCAGTGTCCCAGGATCATGTGATCACCTTTTGTGATCTTCTAACAAGCAAAGTCAATGGGGAAGGCAGATTAGTGTAAGAACCTTGTTACTAACTACCGTATTTTTCAGAGTATAAGATGCATCGGAGTATAAGACGCACCAAGGTTTGAAGAAGCAAATTTAAAAAAAAGGATTTTGCACTTTGCAAACCTTCCAAAAACGGCGTGTTTTTTGCCAAAACGGTCCCATTTCTCCCCCCCAAAGGCATGAATCGCCTTTAGGGGCTTGCAGAATGCTCCTGGGGGGGGGGTGTGCCCCCCAAAATGAGCAAAAATGGCCAGGGGTTAAATCCAGCAGTTTCTGACAGGTTCTGGAGAGCCGTTAGTGGAACTTTTGAGTAGTTTGGAGAACCGGCAAATACCATCTCTGGTGGCCCTAGAGTAGGTGGGAATGCAGATTTTGCAGTATCCTTCCCCTGCCATGCCCACCAAACCATGCCCACTAAGCCACACCACGCCCACCAAGCCACAGAACCGGTAGTAAAAGAAATGTGAATTTCACCACTGGGCAAAACTCACTTAACAGACATCTCACTTAACAAAAGAAATGTTGGGCTCAATTGTGGTAATAAGTCAAGGACTACTTGTATATTTATTATTATGTGCATCACACAATCAGCCAGATGTTTAGACTGGATTTGGTATTTTTATCCATCTATCTGTCCTTCCCAAGGGCCTGGCATAAACAGATGTTATTTGATGGTGTTAAAGGCATCGCTGCAGGATGTAAGCACCTTTTTTTTTTTTGCAATTGACTGATGGTAATTTTGCCAATGCCAGTGGTGAGCAAGAGGTATCCAGATATTGTGGGATTGCAACCAAGGCACCTATTATCCTTGGTACTATCTTTGCTTCCTTTCCCATCATCATTATTTGATTTGTATGGCTGCCTATCTCAACTAAACAATTACGGGCATCTCTCAAAAGGGAATAAAACTTGGCTGTATCATTTGGAAAGTTGGTTTTTGATACTTTTTTTTTTTTTAATTTAGGTCACTACCGAATTAAAGACTCCCTGATCAGGGTGTCTCCTCCAGTGCTGGTGTCCTGCTTTAGATCCAAAACAGGTCGTACAATCGATCCAGAAACTCTGAGCCCAGGACCAGCAGCCTATCAGCAGGCGGTGGAAACTCCAATTGGACCATCAAAGAGGTTCTCTGGACTGTGAGTCCTGAAAAGACGTTTGCCAATCAATCCATTCCTTTTCTTAAATAACAAGTCAATTGGCATCTCTCTAAACCAGTGCTTCTCAACCTTGGTCCACTTTAAGAACTGTGGACTTCAGCTCCCAGAATTCCCCAGCCAATATTGCTCAGGGTGCATAGAACAGTAAATATATTATGGTATGTATAACTGAGTAAAAGGGACATGGTGGTTGAGTGGCTAAGACACTGAGCTTGTCAATCAGAAAGGTTGGCAGTATGGCGGTTCGAATCTCTAGCGCCGCGTAATGGAGTGAGTTCCTGTTACTTGTCCCAGCCCTCTGCCAATGTAGCAGTTCAAAAGCATGTAAAAATGCAAGTAGAAAAATAGGGACCACCTTTGGTGGAAAGGTAACAGCGTTCCATGAACCTTTGGCGTTTAGTTATGCCAGCCACATGACTATGGAGATGTCTTCAGACAGTGCTGATGCTTTGGCTTTGAAACGGAGATGAGCACTGCCCCCTAGAGTCAGGAACAACTAGCACATATGTGCGAGGGGAACCTTTACCTTTTCACTGAATACATTTCTGGATTGGAAGAGACTTGACTACAGAACTCCTTTTCAATCTCTAATCCAAACTCAGTTTTGCATCAATGGATTTTTGACCTTCTCTTTAACAATCTCTAGGGAACCAAAGGTGCTTTCATACCTCCCGCTCGTTTGTGACCCAAGACCTAATAAAACTATGAGCCAGTTGCTCAACCAAGACAATTTTATAGTGACTGTCCTGCAAACAGTGGAGACATTTTGCTGGAGATAAGATTAAGATCTACCCCCTACATTCTTGCCCAAATACTTCCCAGAGCTCACCCTTCCTCCTATCCTAATACAAATTGGCTACTCTCTGCGCACGGTTAGAGGTATCTTTACTACATCTCGTGCCTTTTTAATGCAGGGGGAACAGGCAGTGGGTAATAGACCCATAAACCAACCAAACAGGGAAGAGGTAGAACAAACCTGGTGAGTAAAGGACATCTCTGCTGGCAGAAAACACTAGAACATTCCAGAGGCCATTTCAATTCCCATTGATGTCAAGGTGACGTTAGAGTAACGGCTGATACATGCCTCTACTTTTTCTAATGAGAAGAGCAACTTTTCACTGTTATTTTCAAGAAGTCCCTAAAAAGTGCTCTAGAATTATCATGCAGAATTTCTATGGAAGGTATTCTAGAGCAGGGGTCTCCAACTTTGGCAACTTTAAGCCTGGCAGACTTCAACTCCCTGAGGTCCGCTAGGCTTAAAGTTGCCAAGGTTGGAGACCCCTGCTCTAGAGTAAGAATGTAGGTGGAATTCAGCTGCCAGAATACTCCGAGCCAGAAGGTTTAGAATGCATCTTAAAGTTGTCCCAGACTGAGAAACACTGTTGGAAGGGGTGGCAGCCAGGTCTTACGGTGGCCCGTTTTCTACCTGTTACCCTGGAGGGTCTTGAAAAACCAAGAACTTTGAAAGCCAAGATGATGTCACACAAATGTCCCTACAAAATAAGAGCCAACCTAGAATTGTTCTAAATTTAGTTCTAATTTGTTCTAATCTCAATTTACCATATTTTTTGGAGTATAAGACACACCTTTTTCCCTCAAAAAAAGAGGGTGAAAATCTGGGTGCATCTTATACACTGAATACAGCACTTTTGGCCTCCCAAAACCCCATTCCCTTCACTAAAATGGCCGTGCATAGCCTTTAGGAGGCTCCCAGAGTGCTCCTGGGGGTTGCGCAGGGCAAAAATGAGCGAAAAATGGGTTGGTTTTTTTGCTCAATTTTGCCCCCCCCCAGCCCCCAGGAGCACTCTATAACCCTCCTAAAGGCCATGCTTGCCCCCTTCTTTTGACAAAAAACCTACGCATTTTTGTGAAAAACTTTTTTTTAAAAAAATTGTCTCTTCAAAATTTTGGTGCGTCTTATACTCTGAAAAATATGGTAGATTTGTTATTAAGCCATGTAGACTGGGAACTATGGGAGTTTTACTCCCTAATTCTCTAGTTGGAGGATTTGCCATAGGTTACCACTCCAATTAGAATTAATCCCGGTTTTGCTTGAAACCACAGAAGATTTAAGACTATGTTTTGTTTTGTTTTTGATAGGAGAAAGTGCGTCTTGAATTTCTCGGCCCCAGCTATCCCACCCCCCCAAAATCCACCTTTACCAGGGCCCGGCCAATATGACATAGTGGACTATAGAGGACCTCCTAAGCACTACATCTCCAGTGCTGTATTTGTTTCGAACACCAAACGCTGGACAGGTGATAAATTCCACAAAGGCATACCTGGACCAGGTGAGAATATAACTGCTATTAAATGCCCCTATAGCAAGCCAGACAGTCATCCGTTTGAGAAGAAGAATGAAAGTGAAGCTCAAAAAAGGCCAGCTGGTTGGCTGGAGAGGCCAAGAGCGAGCGAAAAAGAAAATCAGAACGGAAGATTGACAAAAGGAAACTACAGGCATATAATAAGGGTGTCAGGATATCTTCAGGGCATGGTCAAAAAAGTCAAGATGGCAGCCCTGATGGTTCAGTCAAAGCAGTGCTGGGTTCCGGATCCTGTTCCAACTGGTAAGGTTGGAATGGGCCCGGTGGCATCCACATGTGCTTAGCGCGTGCATGTGTCTTACCAGTTCTGCGCGCCTCTGCGATGCTCCAGCTGCTCAGCGGAGCGTCATGCAGGTACTGTATGCGCCGTGTGCATGCACAGAAGTGCAGAAGACTTAGAAGGAGTAAGGTAAGGAGCTTGGGCGGGTGTGTGGGTCTTCCGGAGCACCATACCGGAATGGTATCCAGTGCTCTGGGCTGGCTCCGGTATGCCCATACCAGGGCATACCGCCTGCAACCCACCACTGAGTCAAAACTCCAACTGTTTTTGTTTGTAGTTGTAGTTTAGTTGTAGTTTATTCAATTTGTATGCCGCCTTATTCCCGAGAGACTCAGGGCGGCTAACAACCAAAGGGGGGAAGG